GAAGTTATTACGGTGGCAGAGCGCGCACTGATTGAAAGTTGGGTCCCGCCACTATTGAGTCGCTGGTACCTAGTTCGACTCGCTGGTACATCGTTCGACTCGCTGGCGCAAAGTTCGATTCGCTGGTGCAACGTTCGATTCGCTGGCGCAACGCTCGGATCAGCGATTCGCTAGCGAATCGCTCGATTCGCAAACTATGACATCGGCCCTATGCGCTCAATCTCTCATTGCTTGAGCACAGTCGCATCACTGAGGTGAACAAGCGTCAACCGAAGCGTTTTCAACAGATTCTTTTCTTTTTTTAGTGCCTGCTCATTTTGCACCAACACATCGATTCATGTAAAAGAACCACACGTATTTTTACTGAGGCATTCCCTTACCATGGTGAGTCCAAACTTGTTTCATTGTCATTAATAACATATATTTCAAACATATAATGACGAAGCCGAGATTACGTCTCCTTAGACTTCGGTTGTCCTTTCAGCATTCTCACATCGATCAGAAGTTTCCATGTTTGTAAGTTTTCATACTGGGGTTTTGCTAACATACTTTGAGGTGTTGCTAACGATATACGAGCGCTGTAAACAGATGTTGAGCTTTGCAACTACAGCGTAATCTTGCATTCCGCCAGCGATTCGCTGACGATTCGAGCGATGTGATGCTATTCAAGCAGATTTTAGTGCTTAAAGGAATCTTTCGCGGAAAATTCTTGCATTCTTTTTAACATGAATGTGTCAGTTGTGATCACTGGAAACAGCACACAAAGTTTCACGCATGAAGATTCGGTTTCCGAAGAGAAACAAACGTACAAAAACTACACTCTATGGACAATCGAAGGTAAGTCGCGCGGAGCCAAAGGCGGGCTTGGAAAGAAGTGTGCCTGCGGGGGCTGGAAAGAAGTGCGCCTTGAGGCGGCTACGTATCAGGCGACGCAATGAAAGAATCGGGTTAAAGCGCGCGATTTTGGAGAGTAGAGACAAATCGATCGATAGAATAGGATGGAGTAGAAGTGTAAGATGTGTTAATGCAATAAGTCAAAAGGCCAGAAAGAGTTTCTAGTGAAGGCACTCCAAGAACCAAGTGGAAGCATTCCCGTCGCCAGCATTTGTGACAGATGTCCGGCGGGAATTTGAACGCGTAGCAGCCTTCCGGTTTTTCGAATTGTTTACCAAACAAATGCAATTTTTTCTTTTCCTTATCGTGGACGATGGGTCTCAAGCCAGTGATTTATGGGTGAGATAGAATCATGATTTTCCCGGGAAGGATTCCTTTGATGTTTTGGAAGAGCCAGTTGAGTGAGCAGGCTCTTCAGTGAGACTTAGCGATTCATTTTGGACAACGGGTAACGCGGCTCTTCGAATTCTTGAACACTAAGAATTGCTTGAAAAGCTGGCACATCACGCGAACTGCTGGCGAAGCGCGATTCGCACAACGGTCCCCAAGTCTGAACCATAGCTACACTAAACACATCGGCCGAACTCTCGTGTGATGCGAAAAATGATTAAAGAGTTGATTTGTGACTGCTTCACGAGGAAATCTTTCAATCCTATTCTGCTCTTTCTAACAATTCTTGAGGGAGAAACGTCAAATGACTCTGTTTGAGAAAAGTTTTCGGTATTTTAAAGTTAAAGGCAAGTCTCGGGATAAATGGGTGTGTAAGTTGTTCGCTTATGAAACTGAAGGTGAACAGTCGTCTGGAGTTGAAACCGAAAGCAAAAGAAACTCCCAATCGAGTCGAACAGGGCCATACGGAAGGCAGAGCTTGCAGCAAGATGTTTACTGTGGGTCGAGCGAAGTGCTGGCGCCTTATCAAGCACTTTCGAGCCGCCAAGGGGGTACGACATCAACGCTTGTATACCTGCCTATCTTTGCGTGGATGGAACAGGTGAACGTGCCTAATCCCGGACCATGCCTTCAAGAGCTCAAAGGCAGGATTTACGATGAAAAGTTAGCTCATTGGAAATAAGGGTAGAGGTGGTCAGTGGAGCAGGGATGAAGAAGAAACCATTTGAAACGGCCCGAAACCCGAGAAATGGGACCCCTTCCTTGCCCGTTGATTTGCGCATTGATGCGACTCTCATCGCTGTGCCCTCTTCAACACTACGCTCTCTCTGCTATCTAATCACTCGCCACGTATAGACCTGCGGCGAGTGATTAGATAGTCGGTGGGCGTACCCCGCCAACCGCGCCAAGAGTGAGCCATGCTAGATCGCCGAGGTCAAATCTTTCGCTGCCAATTGCGCGTCGGTCAGCACCCTCAGGAGGTCCGCCTGTCTCCCAACTATGCAATTTTCCCCTTCTTTGACCTTCGTTCTTATCGTGAATTCCTCCTTTAAAGGCACGAGTCAGATTGAATTGATGCGTTATTTTGTTTGAAAATTAGGCAAGGGGTGCAATGAGGAACATTAGTGAGGAGAAAAAGCAAAAAGCACCATAGAAAACACTAAATTTCCCTTAGGAGGCCGGCCGTAGTATGACGAGACACAGCGCTGCGAGGAGAGGAAAACGCGAGATAGTACGTCGTACGCGAGAGGGCGCAGAGACCACGTATGCCGTGGTTGATAAGGATGGCAGCACGGCAGCACACAAGGCAAGGCCTTAGCGCCGTTGCCTCGCACTTTTGATCGGACAGTGTCATGCCTCCTGGTCCTAGAAAAACGAGCTTTTCTCTCCCCCCTCTTCCTCATTCTAGGAGAGACTGGCTCTTGGGACCAAATTCCGGCTCGTGTCTTCAAATTGGCGGATCCTTTACGAGTTACTTAACAATTTTCTGATAAGCTAAAGGACGCTCCACAACCGTTGGCTGAATTTATTCAGAAATTTGCTATGCATCGAACAATGTCATGATTCGCTTATGACAAAGGCTCAGAAAAGGTTGACAAACCCAGTAGGCTCAAGAAAAACAAGAAAAATATGTCGCAACGACCCGCGCTGAGCGTAAACAAATAAAAATTCCCACAAATTCACATGAAATACCAAATCTGTAACAATAGACAAGAACGAACAAAAAAGAAAGGCACAGAAAAAAGTTAATGGACCGAAAGGATTTCACACGTATTCAAATTTGTGGTATACATTGTTATACGGTATCGGAGTGGTTGGCCCATTCGGAGACGGCAATTGCGATGACGGCGTGTAGGAGGGCTGCACGGAAGGCCGTGGGGATATTACGGTAGGAGGTGGAGTAGTTTCTGTGAACGCTAGATTGTTCATTTTCCGGGTGAAGTACTCATCACTTAACGAATCGACGACATCCAAGACTTCCTGAATAAGAAAGAATTGGAAAGAAGCTGGCTTTAGGGGGATAAGAGTAGGTCGAAAAGAAACCTGTCTTGTTTTCCCATGGAATGCAGCCAGTTGGATGAGCTCACGCAGGAAGTCGTCATGTGGTGGAGGCACGGATGGCAAACGGCGAGAACTGCTGAAGAATTTGTGGCTGAGGTAATAGACATCAAAGACCAAAAGGTGCAAAAGAGTAAAAACCTTTGGCAGTCCGTATATGGGATGCGCCACGCTCGCGTTCAAAATCAAAAAATCCTGGCCTCACGGCACGAGACTATGTGCATCTATTTTTCATGGATAGACTTGGCATTTTTGAACTGCACTTTGTATTTACATCACAAAATTACATAGGCCGGACCGACAAAATAAAAGAAAATCTAGCGTTCATCATCCCTTTGACCAACAGTTTTGGCAGCGATAAAGTAACTCAGAAGGTAATGGAAAATCTCGGGTGGCTTCGAAACATGCGTGCTCAACGAGACTGGATCGGATCACTGGACAGTAGGACACCTACCACTGGTAACACTTCTGCACCAATAAGGTGCAGTGCATTGAACGATAAATTTCAAAAGATAAAGGAGTTCAAGAGGAGAGAAGGGGGAGCATAATAGTGGCATGGGACGAGAAAGCACGCACCTTATGCGTGCGGAACGAACACCGAGACGGCCGCAGCGAGCGAAAGATCAGTGCCCACGGCGACACTTAGAACGATGGCCGTGCCGTCGGACGCCGACTTCATAATGAATGTTGGCGCAGCGCGCAACCAAGACTGGTACCCGTGACACGCAAGGTCTCTCATTCAAGTTTAGCAGAAGAGTCGGTTGGCCGTTTAGAGAGGTAGCACTATGGGTGAGAAGTCGCATCCACTAGCTGAACAAGGAAGTAGTCCCATTTCTCGCTTTATACCGGCATTACTGACCACCTCTTCGGGCTATCTTCTAATGGCGAATCCGCTTTTGAGTAGATTTGCGTCATTTTTACCGGATTCGCCCGATAGTGGAGGAAAACATAGTTTAACATCGAACGAGAGCAATAGCCTCGGATTTCAAATACGCTCACAATTTTGGATAAAGCCCAAAACTGGGGCACATTACCGTGATCAGCCCTTTGTTATATTATTTGTTCTTGAGCACTGGGCTCAGTACTCTGCGCCTTCAGTGGTCAGTGGGTGTCACAGCGTTGATCACACTACTACCGCCCCTTTTTTTCAGAAATTCGGCGTCGAATTCCGATCATGCCTAGCTTGATCAAACTAAGCATGCGTCGTCTGAAGCCAGACTAACCTTACGCGTCTACGCGGCACATTTCATGACAGCAGAAACGGAGTTAGTATGGGTTTCGAACAGCAGATGCCAATAGACTCGCCAGCGAATCCTAAATGAGGCCCTGCTTTTTCTGAGCGGTATTTTCAATTATGTAAGTAGTTTGAGAGACATCGAGCACCAATGCCAGTGAACATATAAACGGAGGTGATGGAGCATAGCGAGGCGCGAGAATACCGGTAAACAACGCAACTGTGGAGTAATTGTCGCTTCAATGCACCTATGCATGGATGCTCTGAGCTCTTAATGCCCGCCGTGCGCGCTTTTGAGCTGCGAAAATGGCCATTATTTTCGCGGTTGCGGACCTAGCAACCATATTTGTCAGAATACGCCTTTAGTTGTCCGACCAGCTCATCCAATTAGTAGTAGATTCAGAAAGAGCCGCGCGACTTAGCGCGAGCCGAATTGCAGGATTCGAATGCTCACCTTTCCACGTCCACTTCAAGCTGATCGGCCGACGGTGGCTTCACCTTGCAGGTAACAACGGCGATTCGCATTGCGGTGAACCTATAACGAGACAATCTCTTTCAGTAAACTCTTGAGAATTGCCTCAAGATTTTCAGTACCTTATGTGCTGCATGGCGGCAATGTCTCCACTGTGAGTGACGTTGCTAGAAATGTCACGACTTCCTTCAGCTCCACTGCCAACTTCCCCTTCGCCCAACTGTGCCAATACTTCTGTGATTCGAACCACTTGATGCGAAGCGTTCAGTATGTACTTCACCTGGAAAAAACCAGCACTGAGCCCTGCGCAGGCTTCAACAGACTCTCTAACGACCCACCTTTTCAGCGTCGGCAATGTCTCTCAGATAGTCTTTTAGGCATTTTGTTTGCAATTTCTTTAAATCAAGTGGTTCCAAATGAATCGGTCGGGTGGCTCGATGATCCAATGTATGCGCCATTGATTTGACGGTGAAGCAGATCGTTCCTGAGGAGCACAACAACATTACATGTGGAGATGACATTAGGATTTACATCAGTGATACCTCCAGTTACAAAAGAAAGTCGCATTATTAAGGCCGATTTGTGTTGCTCCAAAAGTTTGTCGCCCTAAAAAAAGTATATTGGGGATTGAAGTTGATTGGCTGCGAAGGGAAACCTACCTCATCGAATTCGAGAAATCCAAGCAGTAAACCCATTTCCCAAAGTTTCCGCACGTTGTTGCGAGTGTCATGGAAAATTTGCAGCAGCTCGAGCATCCCTCTCCACACCTGAACGAGTTCCATCAGAGCGAGATAGGAAGACATGACATCTTTACGCTAAGGTTTTAGCTGCTAGAAGGAGAACTTAAAGGCAGGTGGTAGGATAAACTGGGTGTTGAAGAAGAACAAAATGACTACAATTAAAGGCAGAATTTACGATGAAAAAGCAACCCATTTTAGGATGGTGAGTACAAGAAAGAAGGAAAAACCATGAGAAACGGCCCAGAACCCGAGAAATGGGACCCCTTCCTTGCCCGTTGATTTGAGCATTGATGCGACTCTCATCGCTGTGCCCTCTTCAACACTACGCTCTCTCTGCTATCTAATCACTCGCCACGTATAGACCTGCGGCGAGTGATTAGATAGTCGGTGGGCGTACCCCGCCAACCGCGCCAAGAGTGAGCCATGCTAGATCGCCGAGGTCAAATCTTTCGCTGCCAATTGCGCGTCGGTCAGCACCCTCAGGAGGTCCGCCTGTCTCCCAACTATGCAATTTTCCCCTTCTTTGACCTTCGTTCTTATCGTGAATTCCTCCTTCAAGGAGGGATGACACTTGAAGAACCAAGCTGAGCCACTTCAATGGCAAAGGGTACGTCAGCAACGAGGTAGCAGAGCCTTACCCGTGGTAATCGCCGCCTTCTTGGAATGCCCCGCCTTCACGTGGCAGATACAGCCTGTAATTGGTTGAAGGTGAATGGTTGCCGACTGAGAGGGAGCAGATAGGCGGACGAAAGGGGTTCACACAGATGAAATCACTTATGTGAATGTTTTCCTATCATTTGCTGTGGAATCTCGCCGTGCATGGAAATCAACAGGCATGAAGGGGTCTCAGTTCGTGGGTTTCAATTTCCACAACACAGCACCACTTTCCAGCTCCTCAATCATTTTATCGTACCATCTGCCGTTGAGAATATCGATCAAAAAATGCCAGCCCCGAATGACATACCGAAAACCGAACATTCGTGCTTCCACACTCGTATCTCAAATGAGGACAAAGTACGTTCTTGAATGTGACGATCTCTGAAATAAAATTTAGAAAGTACCCGGTTTCTGAGGCAAGTGATTCATTCGCTTACGCTGTACTCCGTTGATGGTGGCGCCATCCTCGGTGGATTGACAGTCTGGGCACTGGAGTTTGTACTTGAGCAACTCGAAGTCGTCGTCAATCAAACCTCTCTGCACACCGGCGTTCACCTTGAAATGCTGCTTGTACAGATGCTTGAACTGCTCCCAGTGCATTCCTGAACTTGGTGATTCTAGGGTAGCCTACGTTATATCAGCTAAGAACTCACCTGTGTCAACCCATTGCAAAAGAAGTCCTTCTTGGTGATTGCAACCGTACAGCCAAAAGATTGTGGCTGTGTATGACGACATCATTCGCTGTACTTGACAGTCCTGAACGAAAGTTGTCACTCAATTGCTGTCGGAACCCATGTGTCATCAAAACTCCCATAAATCTGCTCTTAAATTCTCTTTCAATACCGGCACCTCACCTGATTTCTGCGAGTAGCAATGGTGAAGGGAAGTGACAGATTGTGAGCAGTAGCAAAACTTCCAGAAGGACTGAAATTATAACGATCAACATCGCGGTTATGGGAACATTTAAATCACGGGTCGGGACTAGATACTCAGAGAAAATTCTCTCCTTGAGTGGGGTAGCAGGATCCCTAATCACAGGGTTAGCGATACTGTAACGACTTCAAAGTACGCGACGAGAGAGCTAATTCTTACGCTTGACCGCTGCGACCGCTGCCATTCTTACCGAGCGCAACACACATAGCGTCTGCGCCTATTCGGGTACGACGTGTTCTCTCACTTCTTCCCTCTCCTCTCACTCTCCGTTCCACAGCGATCGATCTCACAAGCAAAAGTTTCAATGCATTCTATGGTGCCCTTTCCTTTTTTCCCTGCTATCGTCCCTATTCGTACTTTTTGTCCCATTTTCGAGCAAAATAAGACTCAATTCGATCGCGACCCGCGCCTTTGAGATGGTGTCGAAGTGGCTACAGGCGGCTACACTGTCTGAAGATTACCTGAACATCGTCGCTTTGATATGGAAGTAGAAAATTGGCCTCTTCCCGTTCGACTTGTCGCTTTGTGTGTTCGACGGTGACAAGTCCTAAAAAATGATTGAAGAATGAAATGACATGATAAATGATACTTTCGGGCAGAGAGTATTACTTGAAATGAGTTGTGAGTAGATTGTCGGCCCTTCTGTCGAGTAGTACAGAGCAGATGCGGATAGGTGGCCTGCCAGTACCTGAGTGGCTTTCATTAAAAAGGTTCTGCAAAACTGGAACACGAATGGTCGATACACGTACCTGTACTTGGCATTATAGACTGGATAGATGGTGACATATTCTTTGCTGTTCACATCACTTTTCTTATGAGCAGTGTTATTTGCCGAATCAGCGAAGCTTCGTTCTGAACGAAACGTTCGTCGATCAATCGAGATACACTGTGGTGTTCATTGTTTCCCTTTACCAAACCAAACGTATCCTTACAATATTATTTCAGCAAGAAAGGGAAGAGCTCCCGTAAGGAGCACAACTGCCACCTTTTCAATCAGGTCAGGAGGAGCCTTATTCACTCAAGCTGATACTCCTTTTTGTTTATTTAGAACTGCTGCCGTTGCAGCGGCGAAACAATCCTCTTCCAAACAGCGTAGTCCAAATCACTCAAGACATGGCTTTTCAAGATAACTTTGGTCACCCCATTTCGTTCAAATGTATACGAGAGAGGCTAGACTACGACCTTCTTGCACAAATCGCCGAGCCACACCTGCTCATTATATCATGGATGCCTTCAAAAGACTGATTTTCCTTCTGATCTCGTTTCTTTCAGTTGAGGGTCTGTCTTGGTAGTGATAACTCTTGTCTTTGGCTCGTGCCTACAAGAATCGAAGCGCACATAGGACGAGTGCGACCGTTCCCTCATTTATACACTAACACATTCAATCTCTTATGCACTGGAAATGTCAATTGTGAAGTGTTGACCATTTTTTAAGGCTAGCCGTCTAGTTGACCATTAAGACACTTGGCTCACTTTTTCTGCCTCTATGGCCTTCAATTTTTGTAGGTCCAGAAAAGTCCACGCCTCTTCTCGCTCACAATGAACCCACACTCACTATACACCTCGCCCTGTACAGGTCCCCCCTTTCTTCTTAATCGAATTTATGTAAACTCTTCCAAATACCACAACATTACTTTTTTTTTCTCGCACGGTGCTCAACACATACATGAAACATGTCTATTTTAATGTCAAGGCTCAGAATGCAGGATTATTTATTGATGGTTGATTCCACTCAAATGTGAAAGTAGGGATGAGAGGTGGACCGCCAGTGGAGAAAAAAGGAAAGAAAATCCTGAATACAGGAAATACGAGCATTTTGCTCTATGCTGTGGAGAAGTTCAAAAGACAGGCAGGGAGATGAGAGATAATGTGAGCGCGGAGAGCGGTAGAGAAGTCCGAGAAGAGAGAGCATAGCAGATCAACGCAGCGACGCAGACAAGATATCGAACGGTGGGCGGACCATGTTAAGTTTGGTGGAGTCTGTTAGAAGTCCATGGCGCCTAGGGTCCTAGTGACGCGTTTCGATGTAGAAAGGTGGCGCTACCTTTGCACTTGCGTACCCAGCACTTCTAGCCATGGTAAGGGCTTCTTAGGTGGGTCTGCCCGAACTTTGCCTTAAGAACTCTGAACAACGTCGGCATAAATTTACATGCTTGTAGGGAACTGGTGCAACTTGTTTCACTTAACGGTTGACCAGTGGGCACTACGTAGAACTCAAGCTTGCCCACAACCGTCTTTACACGAGAATGGAAGAGCTCTAGGTGAAAGAAGGATCATAATTCCCGGATTCCGACGTTTTCGGGGAAGTTGGTCAATGAAGATCACCAAACCCTACCCAAGATAAGGATTTTCAGACGGGAGATCCCTCTAGTCACCGTGGTTCCCCTCCCCCTTGACCCCAACAGTCCAATCCAGTCTCGCCTGAACGACGATCCTCCTCGCAGTTGACGCTGGAAAAACTCAGTCCCATCTTGAGAGTAATTGTATGCCTATATCTAAGTAAAAGTGCTATACTTCTACGCTGCCTGAACTGAAAATGAGGAGAATGCTACCTCCGTTGCTGGCAGCATTACTTCTTTTCGTTCCAGAAGTGGGCTTCATTGCCAAAAGTGCAGCGGAAGGAGGTTGAGAAATCTGATTCGGTTGTTGCAGCAGTCGAGCACGATTCATTTCAGACTGAAAAAAAAACGATTCAAAAACATTTCCAAAAGAAGTAAATCAGCGTCAAAATAACCTGAATATGCTCGGCAGTCTCCTCTGAGACTACCTGTATTTCAAAGTCTTTGAAGACGACTCCTCTGGCCAAAGCACCGCAGTTCATGCTGTAAAATCAGTGTAACTTTCAGAGCATGTATAAATCGACAAAACTTTATAGGTACCTGAAGAGGTTGTTGGTGACCAAAATGGCGGTGGTTGACGGTTCAGTAGCCAGCACGCAGTCGCTCATTAACAGTTCCAAAGCTCCGAACACTACTTGTGAGAGAATTTTTACTTGTTCATCCAAATCGTACGCCTTTTTGACCATGGTGATCTCGTAGCGAAGACCCTGAATAGTGCAGATGATAAACGAGTCGGGCGAACAACAGCGTGCTGACGCTTACCTGTAGTCGAGCAGCCAGTACAGCCAATATGTACATCATGATGGAGTAGAAGGCAACAAGGTTCGTAACGGATTCGTCCAGATGGCTGCCCTGCTCGCGCATTCGAACGATCTGTGCAGCTCTCAACGTCTCGCCACCTGGCCACGCTATGAGTGTTACAAAACGCCTGTAAAAGTTAGCTCTATGCAGTACTCGTGGATCAGTAGCGCAGCCGACCTGCTCACCTTCATATGGTCGATACAAGGACCCAGAAATCGCTCTCCAAATTCCTGACACTCGTTGACGGAAGGCCTCGATTTCAGCTTGATTCAGAAATTGAGCTAAGGTAAGCCGTCTAAAGAGTCACGCTTTTATTTCTGTCTGGACTAAACACTACATAGAAGGTTCACGCAAAGTAACTCGTCCTCCCAAAGATACTTTTCCCGAAATCTAGGGCTATTTAAAACTCTGTTGCCAAGAACGTTCACACTTTCTACTGGCAATGGCTGGTTGCCCACTTCTGCACTCGAAAATTGTTCCGAAGAACTCTCTTTTATAATTATGTCCTAGGCGACTTCGCGATGTGGAAACTTTACGGGTTTTCAAGAGCATTCATTTCAACTATTGTTGGATAACCTCTACATCTGCGATTGTGCCTTCAAAGCATACCTCGTGAGCAGGTAAAGCTCTTGCAGTGTCCTTTCAGTGTTCTGGCGCAGCACCTCGAAATCAGTGTCCTGATAGTATCCCATGAAGGGCATGTTCACGCTGAAAACTCATCAGTACAACGGCGACTCAGCTATCATAGCATCAAATACCTACTTCGAATAGTTCACAAGTTCGACAAGAGCTTGATTAAGTCGTTGGTAGATGACTTTGTCATCGTTGGAGATAACATTTTGAGTACTTAAATTATTCTGTAGACGGCCGGTTATACACAGTACGTTCCATGTTAACATCGTCCATTCTTCGTAGAAATCCTTCAAAGAAAATTGCGAATTGTGTTCTGAAGTAGCAGTATTGATGAGAACGGATTCTTCTAGTGAACGAGATACGCATGACCCTGCCCAGGTCACAAACTGAGCCATTGGGTACAACACAACCAACATAGGACCGGAGATAATTAGACGACCCAAAACCTCTCGAAGGTGATAAAAAAGGACATGGTAAACTTAGTTTTCAGACTCTATGAGATATTCCCTCGGGACCATAAATACACTGCGTCTCCTAATGATACAGCCACCTAGAAATTGTTCAAAATCTTCATTCCATAAAGTTTCTGGAAAACTGTCCAAGAGAAAAATGTGTCAAATTTGATCGCAAATTCGAAAATCAACACAAAATTTCAGGTTGGAAAATGCCAAAATTTTTCTTTGCTAATTTTTCACGAGATCGCTTTTTCCTATGTCTCCAAATGATATAGCCACTTCGTGTTTTTGTTTTATTTCATTTTTGCTTGATGAAACTTGATCGTACTCAATCACCTTCTCTTTTCTAGTTTGCTCGAAATGAAAGCAAGTGATATTCGAACCCCAGGGCAAAGTCGCAACAAAAATTATGCGCCAGTGGCTACCACTGCGAAAAGTTGAGCTACGAAATGATAAACCATCCTCCTTGCACGCTGTAGAAAATAAAGCTGAGAAGGGCTTTGAAAACCGCTCTGAAAACCCTTTTTGATCAAGATTAATGCGGAATTATGAAATAGCACCCAAATTCATCAAGCCGTGCTCGGAATTAGAGTCTTCTTCAAACTTAATCTCTTACTGGATAGTGCCTTATAAAGTAATGAAGAACTTGCAAGTTCGCTCTCAAGCGAAAAGTGACAATGGCAGTGCTTCTAAAACCCACGTTGGAACACTGTGACTTTTTGTGCTGCACACACGGGACATTTTTTTGCGAGGGAAGCGATAGCCAATGCCAAAGATTGCTCGGCTGCTGTTTTTATTAGGAAACGCACTGTAACGAATTTTGTTCATACCGCAATTTTAGGTAATCCATGAAAAACTATTTCCAGCTAACAACGAAAAGTTTTATTAGAACTATTTAAGCCAACATCGATTGACAGCTGTTATCAGGAAGGAAACTTCAGCACGAGATCGATATTGACAGGTGAACCCAGCAAGAACCCTTTCGGCACCAGTGAATAGTTACCATAATCTCCCGTGGTCCTCTAGATCTAAGGGGCGCCGCCTATCATCCGCATGGCGCGAAAATAAATCCAGCATTGAGGTTGCTTTCACGTTTTTAAGGCGGGTGCTTAGGCTCGAAACATGTTTGAGCCTAAGCATTCACCTAAAAGCCACTACGGTTTTGACTGGGGATCGAAAGCATGACGCATTTCAAGGATACCGGTATCTAAAGTTGTGCAGTATTTTCATCTAAGAGAGAAGCCGTAAACGATGGCCCCACTCACCTGTCCTTTCATTCCACCGGATTGATTCTGTTGAATGCGTAGAACGCGGCCATCAATTTCCGTCAGCAGCTTACAGATCATCGTTTTTACCTGTCAATCAGATCAGTTAGTAGCTCTGAGCTAGAACTCTCGAATACTATACTGATATGAATTCATCAATCCACACTACTTCTCATGATTGACTTATTCGACCAGCATCATGTCACAAGGCCGTCATACCACGCGAGAATTGGTACCCAAACTTTATCAGCGGAAGTGAACGACCTAGGATTGACAGCTCGGCTTAGCTACATAAGAACCTTTTCTAGCACCTATTAGAAAATTCGGTGTCTATTTTCTTCCCTCCCCACTCGCTTGTAGTGATCTCAAAACCTTTCCCTTCCCCCATTCATTTCTAAAAAACTGTAAAAAACATAATGTCCGTAGGCAAAAAAACGTGATTTAGTGGCAAGTAGCCCTGCTATCCCCCGCATTATTTGGGGGGGGGGTACCCCCAGGAGGCCCGTCGCGCGGCAAGAAGGCAGAGTCGGCGGACGAGTTGCAGCGCGTGGTGTGCGATGTAGGACGTGCAGTGGGACACTCTATTTAACTTGACGCGAATCCCTAATACGCGCGCGACTCGTCCGCTGACTTTGCCTTCTTGCCGCGCGACGGGCCTCCTGGGGGTACCCTATTTGGGGGGGGGGGAAATCAACCCTTGCTCCGACTATTCCTACCTCCAAACCTTCAGGAACCCAATAATTATAAAAGAGCAGCTGGAAGCGAAACGCTGACGCATAAGTGGGCTACATAGCCACTTGTGAACGCATTTCACGGTTTGAGTGGAAGTCAACGCATGGCGCATCCATACAACAATAAAAAGCACCTAATCGTTGGTCATTTTCTAATTTATAAAGCACATAGTGGTGATACCTTGGCAAGTCGTTGTTCTTCGGTGTCCGGTGAACGGCGGATCGTAATGCCGTTGAACGCCATGCCAAAGGCAAAACAGATCATAAAGTAACTTCTGGAAATGTTCGTTGGGTAGCATTGATTCTCGATTGCAGAATAGGTACTGCAGATGTCGTTGTTGTGGTTCTGCCAAAAACTTCAAAGCGCATCATCTCAGAGATCTGGCCAAGCAACTAGCTGGAACCTGAGGAATCAGCGAGGTGGCTATTGGATGTTCAGTCGTGTAGAATCCAGTCGACTATGGCTAACTCGGCGCCTCGAGGCTTTTGACGCCACAAATGAGCGCGAAACGACGAACAGCGAACGATCCGATGGCGCTGGGGCAATACCTGCAACAAACCTTAGTAATCAAGGATAACATGATAAAGGTACATTACGCGACTGGGGTTCATCAGATGAAGAATTAGATGAATATAAGGACCTCATCCAGTAAGGGGGCATATGGTGGGACAGTTACGGCAGCCTCCAGAAATTCCAAATTCTGCAGGAGGAAAAATCCCCGGCATGCATGAACCATTTCGCTTCCATTTTAACGTCTACCTCGGACTTTGAACTGAGTTTTGAAAAACTGAATTGCTCAAGGCGATAGTCACGGTCGCACCACATGCCCCCCTTCATTGGGTGAATCCCGAAGTGATCTATAAATCGGCGGTGATCCGTAAGGAATCCAACTACGAAGATCAACCGAAGTTCAATGATGAAACGAACTGATGCCAGAAGTGCCGTCAGCCAATCTTATGTAGCGATACAAAGACTTTCCGATCACGTGGTCGGGCGAGGGACGAGAACGTCAACGCACTGTGGTATAGTTTGTTTCGAGGAAAAATGCTAATCAAAAAATCAAGCTATTATTCATCTGATCACATGAAAGCATACATATGGATGAATAAAATTAAATTCTGGCATATATAGAATAAGTGTCAATATGGCGAAGCTCCAAACATTTCTGTCTAATATTAAAAATGAAATGTGGTGTAAAGGATACCCTGGTTAGGTAAGTGACGGGAATAGATCTTGTGAGGAATCAGATAGAAGCATTTGAAACCACTGCGTAATCTTCACCCAAATATGGAATCTTTCCGCAATAAAAGAGTTTAAAAGTATTTTATTATCGTGAAAGCTGACTTTGTTAGCTCTTTACTAGCCAATAGTGAAGTTCGGGAAGACCACAGATGTAGAAAACCGGAAGAAATGTAAACAGTGTGACTTTCGCACCTAGTGATTCATATATATATAATACAATTATATGAGTAAATCATATGAAAGCCTTGACTGCAATATAGTAATAATTCATTAATGAAAAACAGGCAATGTTTCGTTAACGATGTTGAGTCCATGGTAACAACGGCGGACTGGAACGCCGAATGCTTGTCAACAGGGAATTGTACTACCCTACACTACCGGGCGCAAACGTCACCTAGCTCAGCTCTGATTGTAAATTTAATTAATTATTTTACAGTTTATTGTATTACGATCAGTATAGCACGGTCTACATACCGTCAAACAAAACAATTCAAAAGTTACAGAGCAATAGTTGGACATAGCTCAGCATTTATATGTACTTTCAGAGTCACTCAAGAGGGTAAAATTTGATACCCATTCAAATAATGAGCTTGGAATTCATAACAGACCATAGAAAGTCAAAGATTCTCCATTGTCCTGTAGAATAGAGCAGAAGAGAAGGAACTTGAAAGGCTTCTTGAAAGAACTTAAGAAAAGGAACTTCTTGAAAGGACGTCAATTTGGCTTTCAGGAAGATGTGAGACACAAGAACCAATAAGAAATCATAATTATACCCCGTGTTATGATAAGAAAGTCACGTTCAAATCCGGTATACAAGTAGAAAGCGAAAGAAATGGAGCAACAGTAGAGTTTCTTTGATTTGATGCTGACCTCCTTCACTATCACTCGATAGATGCTGAGGCAAAAAGGAATACAAAACAAAGAAGTAGGAGTGGTACCGTAACCTTTCTTAGATGGCATTGTGCCAAGGTTCGACTCTCAATTTGACCTAGTGGAAGGAAGTAGCACATATAATATGGTAAGAGTGAAATGGAGAGGGAAAGGGGAAATTGTGGTATAGAAGAAAGAGGCTGAGCTGGCGGTTCGGAAGGAACGAGCGGCGGCCAGTGGCGGTCAGAGAACTATCACATATTGTTGTCGTTGCTTGCGTTGCGCTGTGCCGATATCAGCCGTCATATCCTTGAGAAGAGGAGAAAGATAGATAAAAAGGTTATTCCGCCATTGATTTATTGATTTTCGATCACGGGTCCAATAATAAGCCAACTCCGAGTGACTTGGAGTAATTAATTATAAGTATAAAAGAAGTAAAAGGTAACGAGATGAAAAGGCTAAAGACTATTGCAAAGGAAAGAAGGAAGGTACGGTCAGTAATGACCCGCGGATGCTCCATAATTCAATAGCTATCCGCGGAGGCACGGTAGAAGGGGGCGAGGAACTTCCCTAAGGGACACTTCGGCTATTAGATAGAACGCTAAGCAAAGAGACAACAGAATTAGCGCTAGCCTCTTGGTCGCGCTGATCCGTATCTCTGGGACAGGACGGGCACAGGCAGGATATCAATAGCAAGTTGACAGCAGCACCAGTAATGGAATGCTACGGTGTAATAATCGATGGAGACGAATGTCTTCTCAACATCTGCTGATAGTGCCCCTGTCGTCACATTGATTAAAGACCTTCTGATGTCAACGTGACGTTCAAGAATTGAGGCGGAGAGGAGTCCATTTTGCTAAGATCTATGATGGCGCAATCGCAAGATAGGGGGACATCCTCTAGGGCTAGGACAATCCGGGAACTGCTGGGGAAATGAAAATTGCCCGCGCTCCTGGAGCCTCTCCGCCTCGACCTAGGGATTATGGTGAATCCTCTTTTCCACACGAAACAGATGTTTTACGCGGTTTAAGTGCATTGTAACCAGATGCCCCCATATCCTGCGATAGCGCCTTGATGAGGTATTTCATACAAAATCTTTGACCAATCCAAGCAGTCGCACCGTGGACGCATGCCAATGAGCCTCACGTCAAGTCGTCTACCTCGCCACCGTAATCTTGCCGATTCGCTCGCTGCACCGGTTGCGACCTGTTTTGTTTTGCACCGTTTCTACTGACGTAAAGAAATTATTCGTCACATTTGACATCGCTAAACCTTTTCTGAACTGACCGCTTGTTTCTCTATACAAAACCTCCTTTGTAGGGACAATATCATCGAAAACTTCCAAATAACAAGCCTGAATAATTGGTTGGTATTACCGCGAGTAAATACACCGAGCACAGTGCATAGCGGCGCCGCTTCGTGTTGGCATGGTTCACTGTATCGATTCGTAACACGGCGAGTCAATGCTTGGGTCAGCAATAATACGATATCGGAATGGAACTACACAGTGTACTACAAAGTATCAGTACGGGAGCGAAGAATTGGGTGGATACGCGCGTCATTGCAGATTTACAATGCAATCGGTAGTCCCCCATTTGATCCATAAAGTAATGATCTGAATGGCAAGAGCCCATCAATCACTGGGGAATGCGCCGCGCGCTTGACTTCCATTCAGAATCACAGAGGCAGTTGACCAATCTCGTCTGGACGGGAGCGCATGTTGCACCCAGTTGAACTGGCTAGTCTCTTTCTTAACACGTTGGCGACCGCCGTTATGCGCGCACTGCTTCAACATTTTTTGTATTCTCTCATCAATAGGCATTAATTTTCAGCGTTTTCATTATCAGTAAAAAAAATTGTTTTTCGGATCCAATAATGTACATGGAGCCGTTGTAGAACAGGAAAAAACGCCAAATAAGTAAAGGAAACTGTCCCATGTGAAAGTGTGGTATGACATCTTACCACACGGTCGTCAACCTGTTATGACGCCTCGAGTTACTGCTCTACCTCTGTCTATTTTCCTGAGGGTCACCGACTAGAGCAACTTTAATCCCGGTTTACCAGTGCAACGACTGCAATCAATGCG